TACAAGACAAATGTACTCGCCAGAAAGAGAGAGAGAGAGACAGAAAGTGAGAAATCACCCCCCAGGGGGGATAGCCACATGGCAATCCCTTCTCCTCCATTCTCCTCTAAGGATCTTGGGCACGCATGCACACACACCCAGCATGAGTTTAAGCCACCAGGTCCAGGACTTGTACCGCAGTTGACTACCTGGGAGTTCAGCGACATAGTCATTACACTAACTGCTGGTCCCTACAGTAATTTTTTTAAGACTTGTCTTTACCCTCCCTTAACAAAGCCTTCAGTTCTTTACTGTCAAACTCATGCTCCATAGTTTATATTATATTTAATTCATCAATTTAATTATTGAAAGTAAAATTTAAATGAAGTTTTTTGGAAAGAAGTCAACAACCCTTGGCACATAAACAATTCATTTGATGGGAACACAAGTTAGGGACAGTGATGGAGGGGTGTCCTAGAGAGGAGCCTCCTGGCCATGAAGGTCAGGTGCTTTGTGCATCAGTCAGTGTGTCTTATAGAAGGATAATGGATGGAGAGACTCATCTGCCAGGTCACTTAGCTGGAGAGGTGAAAAGAGCATTCGCTGCACACCTATAAGAGGAGTCTCTGGGAATCTAAGTCAGTTTTGATTTCTCTCTTGCTCTCAAAACCCAAATCCAATAGCACAGGAAATTCTCTTGGTTCCAGTTGCAAAATGTATCTAGAATTCAACTAGTCCTTGTCATTCTCCTACCCCTCACCCTGCTCTAGCCCCTTTTTATGCCTCACCTAGATTGTCACAATAAACTGCTAACTTGCCTCCATTTTGTTCACCCTTAACACAGAAGCCAGAGTGATCCTTTTCAAACATTTATTAGATCATATCTCTGTTCAAAACCCTCCAAATAGTTCCTTAGTTCTCTCAGAGTAAAAGTTAAAGTCTGTTCACAGCTGATAAGGATGACCTTCCATCCTTCCTACCTGCCCCCACCACCCCATGGAGTAGCAAATCATCGCTCTTACTCACTGCTCTAAATGTTTGTATCCCTCCTCTGCTAAATTCCTAGTTGAAATCCTACCTAGTCCCTAAGATGATAGTATTAAGAGGTGGGGCCTTTGGGACTAGTGCCCTGTGAAAGAAGCGTGAAGGAGACCCCTTATACCTTCTACCATGTCAGGACATAGGCAGAGGCACAGTCTATGAGACAGAAAGCAGGCCTTCACCAGACTGGATCTGCTATGGTCTTGGACTTTCCAGTCTCCAGAACTCTGAGAGATACATTTCTGTTGTTTACAAGCCACCAAGTTTGTGGCATTTTGTTATAGCAACTTGAACAGACTAAGACATCCTCTCCTTGCTCACTTTGTTCCAGCCATAATGTCCATCTTCTGTCCCCTGAACTTGCCAATCTTATGCCTTCCTCAGGGCCTTTGCATTTACTATGCTAACTGGAAAACTCCAGCTATCAGGAGGATTCCTTCCTTGTTCAATGTCACTGTATCAGGGTGACCTTCACTTATCACCCTATTGCAGCCACAGTCCCCGTCCCAGCCTGAGCATCCTACCACCTCCCTGTGCTTCCCTCCATAGCACCTGTTGTCTTCTAATACAGTGTATAGTTCTTTCATCTGTCTCCCTCTCTAGATCATGAGCTTCTCCACAAGGACAGGAACTTTAATACATCATGGATCTCCATTGCCTAGAAAAGTGCCCAGGCACATAGTCAGTGTTAAATAAATGTTGACAGATAACTAAATAATTAGGCTCAGAAACTAGGCAAGAATGAATATGCAGTATCAACTATACCTTTGCTTCTAGTCATTATTTCCCAAAATACTTCAAAAACCTTGTTATAATGCTATAAATTAGTCCTGCGGTTCTTTAATTTCTCAAACAACCACTTGCATGCTTCAAGTAACCTATGGACTCGCGTGTCAGAGAATAAACATTGACATGTTTCCAAAGCTAACAGTCAAGTCCTGGATATCAATGAGTCCTATTAGGAGGTAAGGGGCGAAAGTAATTGTTAAGTCACTCTCCCTCCACTCTCATGTCTTTTTTCTTTAATTGCTAGGGGGCATGTTCACTTGCCAGAGAGAGACAGAGAAAGAAATAAAGCATTCTCCGGTGTGTTGGGTTCACACTGCCATGCCTTCTCCTCCATTTCGACATCCCATCAGGTTTTGGAACACACAACACGCATGCCCGGTGTGTTTTTCAAGTTGCTGGAGCTAGGACTTGAACTGTGGTTTGCCATGTGGAATCTGGCCCTTAACCAATAGACTATGGGGTTGGCCTTTTGCTAATAGGATGAGAACAAGAGCTTGTAGTAGCTGGAATAGAAGGAAAACTGGCCATTTCTCCCTACAGCAAAAGCTGAGCCTTTCCAACTAGGTTTGTAAATGAGTAACCTAAGACACAAAGTTGTTTAAATTCATCTACCTTAGGTCAAGTATTTCTAAAAGCATAAAGTTCCATGTCAGAATGGCTCACCAACCTCACCCTTTCAAATAAGCTCAATTATGCCCACAGTGACATACAACGTTAGGACAGCTGTGTGTGAGGACAAGCTCATTATACAGTTAAACCATCATATTAAAGTAGGAAGAATAATGAAAGGCCAGAGAATGTTAATGTATTCTTATCCTTAGGCTACAGGAAGGAAGTTTCATTAAGGGGAAATGTGTAGCTTTAATATTCTTTTTCTACCAGGACAGATTTTTTGTCGATTTATTATACACCTCAATTATGTGTTATTTCATAATATATTCATTCTACCCATAGAATCTTACACCTAAAGTCAACTTTTGTTCACAGATATGTATATATCAGCTGAACTTACTATCGACAGTGTTTAGATTAATTAAGATAGTTTGCGAATCAGTACAATGTGGGAAAGAATAAAGGAATGGAAAGCAACAGAGACAAGGTGGGAGGTGAATGGGAAATGGCAGAAGGTGAGAATAGGGGATAAATATATAAATACAAAAAACAAACAAACAAAAAGAATGCTTTATTGATAAAAAATGAGAAGCTATGAATGAGAAGCATAAAGACAGTAATATCTTTGTTATGTATGGTATTTGTGTTGGAAAAAGAAATACATACTGTAAAGAGATGTGACTACATGTAGATAAATTTAAAAATAAATAACAACA